GCCGCGGCCGCCGCCGCCGCCGAGGATGAGCCGCCGTTCCTGGAGGCCCCGGACACGCCGAAGCTTGAGAGACTGGAACCCACTACGTTGCAGCTACCGGAGGAGGACGAGGAGCGTTTCCAGGGGTGGAAGCCTTTGCCGAAGGAAGAGGAACTGTCCGAGAGGGAGGAGGGAGACGGGCTGGGGCTGCCGATCTTATTACAGGTAGCAGCAAGCATGGCCAGAGGAGTCGATCCCAACCTCGGTTCTTCCTGCGAGAAGGAAGAGAGGAGAAGGGGTGGGGGAGGGGAGGTGGGCAACGGGCCGGTGGGGGAAGGAGGGAAGAAATGTACATCAGTTCTCTGGTAGCCCCCTAAACGTCCCACTGCACCCCATCTCTTGCTGCGGCGCGCAGCCACCAACTCACCTGGCACCCCCAACAGCCCCGGCACCCGGGTGCTTCCTACTCTACAGGAGGGGACAAGTTTGGCTGCCGGCGTCCGATTCCGGAGCAAAGTGCCACGCTAAAGAAGAGTTTGAAAAGTATTCTCATCTAAAATAACACTCTCGCGCAGACAAGGCCCCAGACACTTCGAAACAAACAAGCAAAAAGTCCAGACTGGGGAGGAAGAAAGTTTCCTTTGCCGAGAAGCCTGAGGAAAAACCACTGGATTGCTTTTTAAGGCTGCTATCCCTTTACTCCTGAAAGAGCTTTGAAAATCCTGTTCCGGTCCCTACAAATCCATCCTGGGTTGTTTCTCCCAGGCCAAAAGAGGTCAAACTGTTGGGTTCACTAGATCTTCCTGACTTTTTCTTTCTTCCTTTCTTTCTTTCTTTTTTTTTTTTTTAAGCATATCTACAGTAGTAAAAACGAGAAGAATTCAACGTACCTGCAAGACAAGGCGGGCTGCGAAAATTTTTTTTAGGGGAAGGGGAAGAATCTGCGGTTTGCCCAGGAGAAAAAGCTCTTTACCCCTGAAATCGTCGCCTGTAAAATGGGCTGGGCGCAGGTCTCCCGGCCAGGGAGCGGCCAGGCGCTGCGAGGTGGCTGGTCTAAATGCCCTTCGAACCTTTTCCTGCGCTGAAAAAAGTGACTCTTCCCCCTCCCCCTTTTTCTTTTCTCCAAACTCACTTGTATTTAAAGGAAAAAAAAAAAAAGCTCTCAATAGAGAGACTGATAGCCCGTGGCCTGGCCGGGGCGACTTTAACCCCCTCCGATCGGCAATAAAAGGAAACTAATTAAACCAGCAAGAGAAAATCCTGAGACTCACCCCTAGAAGTGAAGTTGCCATCACACAAAAGTGCCCTCCTCCTCTCAGAGGATCTTTTTTATATTGATAAATCAGAGGCAGTGTTTTTTTTAGAGGTGTGCAATACAATGATCAGTTCCGCCCATTCCACCACAATTGTAGCTCCCTCTCCGGCTTTGAAGTGCCGCGGAGGCGCGGCCAGCCAATCTGCGGCCTCGCCGGGCCGCGCCGCGCGCGCGCCGTGAGGTCATCGGCGCCGCAGCCGGCCGCTGCGGGGGGGAGGAGGGGAGCAGAGGCGGTGGGGTGCTGCGTGTGTTACGATGCGTGTGTGAGTGTGTACGTGTGTGTGACAATGTAACTGTGCGAGCGTGACCAAGCCGGGAAGGGAAAGACAGTGCAGAGACCGGAGGGAGGGTGGGTGTGTGACACCGTAACAGTGACTGTGTGGTAAGGGGGGCAAGTGGAGAGAGAGTGTAGAGAAGGGGGAGGGTGTTGTGTATGACTGTGTAATGCGTGTGCGGCAAAGGGGGGTAGAGGCACAGAGCATTAAAGTGTTAAGGGGAGCGTATGAGTGTACTGTAGTGTAACTGTGAATCTGATAAACCTGGGGCGGGAAGAGGACGGTGCAGTAAAGGGGGCGGTGTGAGTTTCTGGGGTAGGGGGCGAAGGAGGGGTGTGAATGTGTGTTTGTTCGAGAGAGGAGAGATTGTGTGTGTGTGTGCGCGCGCGCGCGCACCAAAGCTGGGGGTGGGGAATAGGAACAATGCAATAAAGTGTACGTATGTAAAAGAGAGATTGGCGATTTAAAGAGGGAAACTGCGAAGTTGAGTGAGGCTGATGAATAAACAGTCACAAACCTTGCGCCTGTCGCCAACTTCCTCTGGCTCCTTGTACCTAAAAGCTTGAGTGATTTTTCTCAACTTAATGATTAATGTCACTACATTTTTGAGGACGACCTTAATACCTACTTTCCTGCCCCGCTCGCCAGCCAAATAGTAGGAAAATTGGGAAGCTGAGGGATAGGATAGTCTTAGGGGTGAGTTAGGGCGTGCGTGCGCCTGCGCCCGTGAGATCTTACTTTGATGTACTGGCTCCTTTTTTTTCCCCCCAGAGGTGAGATTCGGCTTTGGAAGTGCAGGTCTCACTCTGAGGAAGGAGGTGTGTTTGTCCCGTGGCGTTGAGTAAATTTCAATACAAAAGGATTACATAGAAAAGGGAGTGAGCGAGGGTTGTTTTTTCTTGGAGTGAGAAATTGAAGAGCCTTTAGCGGAATTTAGACGTTTTCGCAGGAAACCCCACTGCCTCTTTCTGAGGAAAAAAGTCAGAACTTTGATCGAAATCTATGGATTCTATTTATCTAAGGACTGAGACAAGCCTTTGACAAGTCTCGGACCACGTTTATCCAGGCGTTTGTGTCTCATGGCTTCTGGGCTAGAGATCTATAAGTGTGTTTGCATGTTAATAGATACATTTATTCCAAATTCTGTGGGTTTTAGTCACTTGCTTGCCATTTGTGTTATTAGTTGCCTTCAAAAATGTCATTACAATTTCAGTGCCACCACAAGGGAACTTCTTAAGCAACACAAAAAAGCACAACGCCAGTGTAGCAAAAAGTCCAGAGTCCTTGGAGGCCTACCGCATATTCATATTTTTAAACAGTAATTCATATCTTTAAACTGTTATAAATGCCCTCAAGAGTCTAATTTTAAGGTGGAACTGGTTAAAATGTGACTAGTTGAGGAATTTTGATTGGGGCAACATTTTGTTTTGTTGCTGTTGAACCCTCCTCAAGTGTATCACAGCTTTTGGAGATGTTGAAAATTCCTCCTGGAATTTACTAAACTCCAGATTCAGGTTGTATTGTCTGTGTAAATTTCATCGAGCAGAATTGAGCCTGATGTTTGTAGCGTGAGAGTGTGTATTTCTGACCCCTTTTTAACGTGTGTGGATATTGACTGTACATCATATCTATTGATTAAGGGGGTAAGGTACACTCTCATACTTTGAAGTAAGTGTGAAGTAAATTAATGAACTGCTTTCTTTCTCTGAAGGCTGACGCTTACCATAAATGTCGTGTTTCTCCCTGCAAGCCGCTCTGAATGATTTTAGCGTGTTGAGAAGGCGTGACAGGCCAGCCCAGAAGGAGGAAGGGGTGGGGGTAGGAGGGAACTCCGTTTAACAAATAAAAGAGAATTAACTTCATTGCTTTGGTCTCCTTCCATAATGATATTCATTTTAAAGACCTAATATACAGTTGTTCAAATTTGGGGTTTAATTCTAATCAATACCGTCACCCTCTAAGGTGGAGAAAAAAAGCTTTGAGGGGAGACTCCCTTCTATGAATAGTAATTTATTTTATCTTCTTATCCTCCTATCTTCTGAAAGGAAGTGAGGCAGGACTATTAAAAAGTTAAATGCTGATTCTGAGAGTAAACAGAGGCGTTAACCACTGTTTCCTCAAAAATGCCAAGAATTAGAGAAACCCAGCATCATGTGACTGCAATTTTGAGCTCCATAATTCTAAGATTTTTCATTTGAATAAATTCACTTTAGAATCACATGTCATTTTTCCTATGACATGAGTCACAACGTTATTGTGGATTTAATGAAAGTACTGAATTCTTCAATTTGCATAAGGTTGGCTTGCAGCATTTGAGGATTTACACAAAGGTTTGTATGTGCAACTTTCTTCATTGTGTATCTATACATACAGGCACACACATATCTATTCCATTTACTACCATTAAAATGTGAAGTATGTATTTCATAGTAACATTGATAAAGGACATTTTTTTCTTCTACTACTCCCACTTCAAACCTCCCCCCACCCAAAGTGATTTGTGTTTGTGTCCTAGGGCATAAGGCCCCACAGGTAAAAAGGAAAGACAAAGAAAATTATGTAATTGACCAAAAATTAAAACAATCATAATTTTGCTTCTAAAATTGCTTGAAACTAATCTTAATGGTAGCTCTTTCTCCATGTTAGAGAAGTGACCAGATTATTCTTAAATCTTATCCCCCTGGAAAGAACATCTGTAATCCCTTATAGATAACAACTGTCTGGCAAAGCATTTCAGGGTGCATATAGTTCAGCTTACCTTTTGCAATATTGATCATTACTCTTAAGTATTGTGATCTATAGATGTTTGGAAAAGAAGGGGGAAGGAAAATATAAAGAGCAGGCTTTCTAACATTAAAAGTTTCCCCCACCCCAGATGAAGTTTAATGTGCGGGCAAGAAGAGGGGTAGATGGATATTCTGCTGTTTCTTGCAAACCTGTGGGATCCACTATCAATAAAGCTAAAATCTATTAGCATTCTGTATGCATCTGCAGCATAAATTTCATTTGAATTTCAAATTTAATAAACCAGGAGGTTTTTAATCATCCCTGGTTTTATTTGTTTGATATTAACATGCTTATTGACCGGGTCTGGTGACCAGTTTGATCATTACAGGACAGCAAAAAGTTAATTAAAACGACCACAGCCCCTTAATCATATCATCTGTCTCATCCATGTCGCTCTCTTTATTACCGGTGATGATGGATAGTCTCCCAGATTAATTTCTCTGTTTCTTCGATTTGGACAACAGCTTTTGGGACCTAATTTACATCCTGGGAACAACTTGCTCAAGTATATCTAACACCTTGCAGCTACAATATACATCAACATCTCCTTAGATAGAGCAGAGAAAGGGAGCTTTTTTGCAGGCGGGTTTGAAAACTAATCAATGCTCAGACCTGGAGCTCTTACGCTTTCACTACTAAGGAAACAGAAGGTCCTAAAAGCAAAATAGAGGCCTCAATTCCTGCTTTTCCTTTTTGGGGGAACAGGGAGTGAAATATGCCTTTGCTGTTTGGTTAATAGATTAAAATGTGTAGATACAACGACAAGTAAATAAAGCCATTTGTAACCATGAAGTACAATTAGGGATTTATAATGGAAAACATCAAAGTTATCCAGGCTTTCAAGTGTCCGGCAACGTATCCACACCAAATACGGTTTCTGAACTTGTGAAGTGTGTTCCAGTATATACACAGCGCTTTTAAAAAAGAGAGACCGGTAGACTAATAGAAAAATGCACACCAACTATAGCGCGTACCTCTGCTGGGTACGTTTAAACCCGGCTGTTCGCATCTCCATTTCCAGATCGCTGGCAAGGACATGCAAGCTCTGGAAGCTGACCGGCGGGTGCCAGCCTCCGACCGAGTGAACGCCGTGCTGGCTGTGCGTCCTTGTCGGGCGCCTCTCTCCGAATGGAAAGAGAGCCCCCAACCCCTGGCCACCGTGCGGGGACCTAGCGCGCGGACGTGTTGGCTACTAAATAAGCGTGAAGAGGGGTGGCTAGGAAGCTAAGGGCCGCCAGCGGCTGCCGGGAGGAGCAGGCTAAGCCAGGTTGGGGGTTTTCCTCTTCCAGAGCTCTCTGTCCTGCTGAAAAGAAAACCTGGCCAGGCGTGGACCTGTGGATTCCTGAGGGGTGCCCCTCGGGTCCGTTTCTGCTTTCGGGTGGCTTTACTAAGAAGTTGCCTAACATTTCCTGGCAAGGGAGGTAATAAAAGCTCCTCGCGCTGGTGGCAGATTGTTGAGCCGTAGGTGGGGAAGGCGTCAGTCCACCAGAGCCCAGAGAGGGTTGTATTTTCCTGATTGGAAAATGGGAACTTCCACGCTGAACAATAGCCGCTATTAGTGAGGTTATTCGGTTTCAAACCGTCCGGCCACGTTTACAGCCGAGTCTTTACTTTCCTGGTACTGCTTAATTGGATGCATTTGTTGACCACAGCGAAGCAATAGTGACTGCTGATCTACTAGCACAGTGGGTCCTTGTGGATGCAAAGCATTGCCTTGATGACTGAATAAATGGGACCACTTGAGAGAGCATTTTATATTTTTTCTTAATTGACTCCTTATTTTTCTGGCATTTCTCCTCAATATTTACTTTTTTTTCCCCTGCCATTTTCAAACATCCAAAAGTTAGGGATAGCTTAATTAAATGAGATTGACCAATCTAGCTTAGGCTATTGGGAGATTTATGTTAGCTGGATATTCAAATTGCATATTCAGAAGACCAGGAGAAGGACTTTCCCAAGTATCAAAAAATCATCTTAATAATTTGTAGATAAATTTCAGA